GAGGCGGCTGGGTGTGCTGAGGACTGACTTTCCCGCTGCGCCGAGCCAAGCGCCTGGGCAGCGGCATGGAGCCCGGGCCTGCTCCCGGAACCTGCCCGCTGCCCTCACGTTAAGGATAAAAAACCGAAATAATCTGTCTCTGAGGGTGGTGGTGTGTTATGGCTATTTTTGTTACACCACAAACAAAGTAGTTGCAGCTTCACGGTAATCCTCCACTCATGGCTTACCAGCCACATTTCATGTGTTTTAATAGTTGATACCTTTTTTCCTCAGCATCAGACTAAGCAGGAAAGTTTGTTCTCAAGCACAAAAGCCCTCACAAAAGGTCAGATGTTACATATGGCACAAACTCGACAAATCTTTACATGTCTCGGAACAGCCAGAAATCCATCAAGAAGGCACTGTTATCAATACTCAACTATCTGCTGAATCTTCTGTGATTTGAGGATACCCTTGAAATAATAATTAAAAGTTACAGATGTACAGAATCCTTGTTATACGTTATTTACACAAACAGCAGTGAAGAACACCCTTTAAGAAACTATACAAAACATTGAATCCAAAGTCCGTTTCATAAACACTAGTCTAGCAAAAAAAATAAAATTGCCAAAGGCACAGGAGGGCATCAAACAACAAAAAAAGGGAAGAAACCATCATCGCTGCATTTTATGGGACAACCTTTCAAATTTTTGAGACTTAACTGGGGGGGACAGGGAACAACCAGGCTATACCTCACGAAGTAATGCCAACTATTTAAAGGGAATCAACATGTGAAATGCAAGAAGCATCATCTATTGCTGAAACTGATACTTGCTGCGTTTCACATGGCATGTTTACTGTTTCTTACCTTAGGTCATCTGTACCTAACCAGGCAATCTGTACCTAAATGGCAAGTTAAAGGCCTTGAGTGCATTTGAAAAAAACAAATCAAAACAAAACAATAAAACCGCGTGGCAACAAATTTCGAAAATATTGCTTGTATAAGAAATAACAAAACAAGATTTGTAAATAAAATGTGAAAACAAGTGCTGTTTTAAACTTTAAAATCTAGTAGGAGGCCACAAACGTCTGCAAACTGTACAATCAATTTTTATAGCTATGTGCAGTAAGCAATAGTCAAGATCAGCTACACATCGTGGTTAAATAGGACAACGGTGATGCACTAAAGGAAAGGCTTCATGCGCACCTGTGACCAGCTGTACTGTAAAAATCAGGCAAGAAATGTCTTTGTTCTATTTGCAGGAGGGAACACCATGCAAAACCCAGCAAAACAGGAATTGCTAGGTTTTTTATGTACTTTTTAGAATTGAAGTTATCTAATCATACAGTTAAGCAGAAGCCTGCAATTTGACTTCTCGAGAAGTTTCGTCACATATCCTTTACCTTCCTGGATCATCACTAAAACCACTTTTACAACAGAAACTCAAAAAAAGAGGTTGAAAGGGAAAGCAGGTACAGGCATTTTGTCTTGCTCTGTTCAAGTCTTTTACTTCTCTTGAGCTGAGCATGAACTTCAGACGTGGAGCACCTGTTTAGTCCAGTACTGTCCAACAGCTGGCTGGGCCAGATCCACAGCACTGCCACGCCGTCCACGTACAAATCCATGCAGACGGTGTTATTAACTGATCTTGAATACAAGTGACTAAAAAAAAAAAATCTACAGGAAAGGGCAGAGGGACATTTCTACTTACAAGGGAAATAAGAGCTTGCAACTATCAGGAGATTCAGCACCACAAATTTAGCAGAGTATTATTTTAGGGGATTGAAGTTATTGCCCATTTCCTCTTGTATTACTCTCATGTGCGGAGTATACTTAAAGGCATGTAATGGATCTTAAGACAGGTGAAGCTTTGACATCTGAATGTGATAATGAATGGCCAAATTCAGGCTAAGAACATGAAATTAATGCTATAATATTCTGCTTTCTTTATGCCATTTAATACATGGCTAACAGTTTCGGTTTCGAGAATTAAGAGGTTTTTTTATTTTTATTTTTTTTTTAACAGTGAGGGACTTTCTATATGAACAAATTTTACTTCATCAGCTGTAGATATAATAGAAGTCCAATCAAGTTTGGTCTTGCCCATGTATGCAAAATGACTCTGGTTAAGGTATTGCACTCTAGAAAATGATTCAAGACCAAACTATGCTAATATGAAGCTGTAAGGAAGAAGGTGAAGTTGACTGCTTAAGCAATGAACTTTTATATAGCTGAAGGCCCAAGAAGGGGAAAAGGAAAAGGGGAAAGGGAGGTGTGCAAGATGTCAGCTATAGGAATATATGAGTAAACAACAAGTAATAGTATTTTCAGTAAATACTGGGTGAGACTGATGCAGAACAGAAAAGCAGATCACCTGGAGAGTCAGGGAGGCTGCCCAAGGCAGAGGGATAACCAGGCCATGGCAAAAAGCCAACCCTGACCTTGGAGCTGTTCCACTGCCTGGGATGGATTTGATTTCCGAGAGGATCCTCTGAAAACAAACTTGGCTGCCCTTCACACTGTGCTGCTCATCCTCCTGTTGTCTCATTCAGGTTACTGAAAGTGCCTTTACAATATTACAGCCCCCTTTTGACTTGGTACGCTTGACTGGCATAAAGAATTCACCAGATAAACACTGGCGCCAAGTATTGTCTGCTGGAGTTTTACAAGTTCTATACATGCATATATTTCTTCAAATAAAAACGTTAGAAACCCTGGTTTTAAATTGAAACTCAAGCTTCACATTAATTTGTATTGCTACAGCATAACAAATAGGTACATCTGTGTGTTCTAATAGGTAGTATACGCTGCAGTAAGGAGGAATTTAACAGACTGAGGATTTCACTCTCATTTGTTATGTGTGGTGTTAGCCATCCCACAATTTCTGAAGACTTCCTCCTTGTAAACACACGTTTTCATTTGCACGTGAACTCATGATGGTGCCTGAATTCTGTTCCACATCATCTGCCCTCTGGGAAGCTCAACTCAAGCTACATACTAAGCACAGCTTTGCATCTTCACATTTGTTTCAGAAATAAGAAAGAGTCCTGGCATCAGCAGTCTGCCTGCTTAATGTGATATGACCATATACAAATGTAAATTCAAAGCTGTAGATCTATCAAGACGTACAAACACACTGTGAATCCTCGACATGTGCAATTCATGGGAGTGGATCAAGACAGTACCTTCCCAGGTGCTGTACTGCTAAAAACGTGCTCTGTACAGTAGATGCAGGAATGTTTCTATGAAGAATCTGAAGTTTTAAAACTATAAAAATAAAACAGCTGGCTTACAAGCCACTATAGTAATTCAGGATAAAAACTCTCATACTTCCAAAACAGATCGAGGAGATTACATTGCAGAATTCCCAAAGACTTCAGCTTTTTACTTGCCAGTTCCTAATGCTCACGATCGTTGTATAAGAATGTATTTGTTTGACCTTAAACAAAACTTTACTTCCAAACACCCAACGCCATTTACAAAAACTGTTGGCTGCTTCAAAAGTTCCTTTGCTACAAAAATGGTAAGTCTAGACGTAACAAAGCATGCTTGTTTATCATTCTATCATAACAGGAATCATCACATCCTACCTACAGGGTCTGACCTCTGAACTGGTAATGTCATCTATTCTGTGGTGAAGATTCATCTGTACAGTGTATGACGCAATATAAAACACAAGGCTGATGTTGTATGTCTGCGAGACAGAGGCACACACCAGGAGCAAGAGTGTACTGGCACTTACACAATTCTTACTTCAACTGGGTAGACGTGAGAATGATTCTGAACCATGGATGCTGAGGCAAAGTTCTGTAAGTTGTTGCTACAGGGCTCTTTTAGATAATATTGCATCATTTAATGTCCAACCTAAAACATGGTCCCCAGTAACAGTTCAATCATTCCAGTTCAGAAAGGCCCTTCCTATTTGAACAAGAAATTAATGATAAGCTGCAGCAGAACCACAAGTAAGATGAAGACGTAGTGCTTAAACTGCAAGAAATGGTAGTCCACAGATGGTGAATTAGAAGTGACTCGATTTCGTAGAGCCATGATGTCTCTGTAAGATAGAAAATAACCTGTAAATTACAATCCAGACAGTTTGGCATTTTCTATTCTGTTAGGGCTCCCTAGAGAAGACAGTTTTTGAGGAAAATTATGAAACATCGTTGAGCAATCCACATTTGGGAAGAAGGGCAGTTTAAAGACATCAAGGCTCTAAATCAGAAAGATACATACCAGCCTCCAAGGAAAAAGAAAGAACCTAGAAAATCAGTATTCTCTAAACCATTTTAAAGCATTTTATCTAGTACTACCTCTTAATATCTTCTTGTGTTTCCTTTATAGATTCAATGGCACTCTGCAGTTCACCAAGGTCTGCCCCTTTTTTCCTTATTCTTGTATTATGCTTCAGAAGTTGCGCTAGGAAGATACAAAAGCCAGATGTGATTCACAGAAGTGACTGCTAAGTCAAAAAGGGAACAAAGTACTAATGACAAACTCAACCAGTTGCAAAAAATGAGGAGAAAAGTTTTCTAACTAAACTTCTATTGAAAACTACAGCCTTATTTCTGATTCTATTTTATTTATTCTGATTTTATTTATGATTCTATTGTTTTGGTCACCTATAGCACAAAAGGACAGCAAGGTAAGCGCCTGAAATAACAATTTGTTCCTCAGATACTAAATATGTGCAGCACTTAAGCTCGCCTACACTACACACTGAAGTTTAAAAGGACAGAAAAGTTTGTAATTAAATCTATACGCCATTCTTGCTGCTTCTTTTCTTTTTTTCCCAGAACATGCTTTGCATTGGATAAAACTGTCATCTAAAGCATGCATTATTTCATAACACAAGCATCGAGATAAGAAGAGTATGTGTGACTACAGAACTCTGTTTCGATATCAAACAAATTTATTATTTCTGTATGCAAATACATCTTTTCCTACCTTCACTCCCAGAGGAATCCTGGTTATCGGGCTCTGGGGAAGAGAAACCACACTCCCCTTTCTTCTGACTGGCTGGCTTTCGTTTGATTTTTGGAACATTAACCTACAATTGATAAACTTATGGTATTTCCAGAGAACCAGAACTGTAGCAAAGCAGCACATTCTAGCAGTCATAGTTGGAAGCGTGGTATCTAATAGAAGTCCAAGTTAAATTTTTTCATGTAGAAGCAGTCTGAAGTTTGTGCATCTTCCCATTTAAGGAAAAATACACATTAAAGTGTTGAGTTCAAGTTTGCATATTTTATGTTCCTATCCAATCAAGTAATCTCTACTGCTTAGGATGCAACACAGAAGTGAAAGACTACGGACTGGGTAAACTATTTTGTAAGAAAACAATAGTATTTTCCATCACTCCCAATGCTTTGATGACCTTTTATACACATAATGCAAAATATACAAGTCCCTGGATCTTGCTGCACCTGGTAGTAAAACTGGAACATACCATTGGTGTCCGATGTCGAACTTTTGTTTGGATGGTGCCATCTTTTTCATATTGGATCATATCATTCAAAGGGTCCCATGGTCTGGTACTAGACAGAATGAATATAATTGATTAATACCACGGTGATTTAAATCAGAAATATTTTACTGCTCAGAAACTATTTGTTACTAACAGGTTAAAGCTCTCTCTCCATATCAAGAGGTCAGACATGATGTAAGTGATGCTATCTTCCACTCATAGACCAGTCCTAGACTGAGGGGCCAAGAGAACCAAAAATAAACTTCACATCCAGGTCAAACCCTCAGCCAGCTAGTAAGAGTACAAGCTATTGCATTAACCAGCAATATAATTATGGAATTATGTTGTTATTGGTTAATTGACTGATATTTGTTTTTGCTTTTAAAGATGCCTAGAAAGGAGAGAGATTCAGAATCGGCCACTTCAAACCTGCTTTCATCCCAAAGTGGCTATTAGTAATCAAAACTGGTTTCAAGAGGCACTAATGAGCTACACAGAGTTTGCCTGTTCTGATTTTTTAAGAGTGCTTTTCAAGTACAGGTTGATACAAAATTTAAAAAAAAAAAAAATCCAGCAGAAGACACGTAGCTTACTGCAGAACAACAAGCAAAAACCAACATCTCCACTGATAACAGCCTTTTCAGGACAGAAGCTGCAAGTCAGCTGCATGCAGAGTGTTCTGATGCGCAGCTTTAGTGAGAGGAGATTAAGCATGGGATTTCCTTTCATCTCTTCCTGTAGACCTTTTAAAACAGTTGTAACTGTTTCAGATGTTGCGAACATAGACGTGCATTTACATCTTAGCTTAACCTGACTTGAATCAGATGTCATCTAAGGTAACTGGGTAAGAACAAGGCATTGCTTTCCCAAAGGACTTCTGTATCTGTAATCCAGATGCCTAAATCCATAATCCAGATACTTTAACAAATGCCACAGCTTTCACAGTAAGCATAAAACACTGCTCTTTACGTGGACCGTTATCGCAAAAAAGGAGACAGAAGTGTCTTCCAGAGACTGCTGTCAGCGCAGACTGCTTTCTAGCACATAGTAAAATTTCTGTGGCACATCCTTGAACCACAAGGTGTCAAAGAGACAGAAAAATAATGCAGATTAACAAGAAGGGTCTTAAGGCTGCAGGGGATAGTGTAACAGATTTAAAGTGCAGTACTTTTCCTGATCGTTTCACACCGAGTTCAACAGCATGGGCAGTCAATTCAGATGGACTATTCACAACTCTTCCAACAGGAAGAGGCATCAACAGCACCAGAAGGTTCAAACCAAGAAAGGGTGTTTCATAGAGCATTTGGTCTAGTTGGGGAATTCCTGGCTGCAGGATGTTTTGGGTGGTAAAAGTCTGCACAGACTTATAGCGGAAACCAAGGAAATTCATGGAAAATAAATCTATTGAGAGGTGCTAAATACACAGAATCCCTACTTGGTTCCAGGAGACCTCCAAGTTGCAAATTTGCTGGAGACATAAAGAATACTCAGAATTCTTGTACTCTTCCCTATATATGCACTTAGGCCACTGCCCTAGTATTGCTGTTCTTACACAGAAAGGTGAAGGGTTCCCAGGTTTAGCCATAGAAATATACTTCGAGCACCCATGGCTTCAGAGTTACTTAACTTGGTATGTATCATCTTTGGATGTTTTACAATCCCTGCAATATAGAAGCATGCTGGGTATTGGAAAAGAATCAGGAGAATGTGGGTGTTCTGTGAAAACCATCACCAGCAAAGGGCTCAGCTCCAAGCTGACTCTTGCAAGCACTGGTGAGAATACAGAATGCATCCCAGCAGCCAGGGAGACAGCTACATCCTCATCTTCTGATCCAGATCATCACACAAAGAGATCACACTCAGGTTTGCAGGGCATATTTGACAGCTGAGCAGAGCCACCTGGTCCCAGCATTAACCACTGCTCTAAACCTGTTATTCTCAGAACTATTCTAACATATAACAAATGAAATATCTCAGTTCAACTAAGCACAGGTTTTTCTGATTTCCAGATACTAGATTCTCTGAGGTGGTATGCCCATATGTACTATATTTTCCAGTCTGAGAAAATCTGTGTAGCTGCTCTGGTCAGTATGCGGTGGGGTGGGAAAGGAGCACAATGCGTCCAGAAGTGCCATGCTCAAGAAACTCTAGAACATAGCACAGATTTGTAAAGGCACATAACCATAAACATAAAAAGCCATTGCAACAGAGACATGAAACGTTTTGCTGCACTAGCAATCACTGCCTTTTGAAGACTAAAAGGACCAAGCAAGATCAGCTAAAGAATTATGCATTTTAATTAAAAGACATAAAAAAGAGTATCAAGTAGCATTGCTTATTTCACAAATTTGAACTGAGCTATACACCCAAGTGCTTTTGCTCCTGAAGCCCCAGGAAGAGGCTCAGCAACACTACCAAGCCTTCAACAAGCAGTTTCTGTTACAGGCACTTCAGGACTCACTCAGCATATTTGTAGTGCCATTCTCCTGTGACTGAATCCTGATCAAACAGCTTGCACATCCACTCTTCACCCTTCAGCTTCCTCTCTTTGGCACTCTTTCTCTGAGCTTCTTCCAGAACATATTTCTCTTGAGTAGCTTCTGTTTGGTCTTTATTATTTATTGCTCTTGTCACTTGTTGCCAAAGCCTGACAAATGAGCAATACAGAGTTACAATCTGGTTGGCAGAAATAACTGCAAACATTTCCTTAATTATAGTCTAAGTGGATCAACCTCTAAATAGAGTATTACCATGTTTTAATATATGTTTTATCTACATTTCCATCAAGCTTTTCCATGATTGTAAGGTTTATAAATAATGATCTTGTATTTAACAGTGTTGCTTTCTTGTTTTACAGGCCAATATCAGCAAACATGGGAGAGAAGGAAATCATAATTTGTTCATAATTTGGAGATGATTATGGGTTTTATTTTGTCAAAATAATTATATATGGTTCTGAAGTGAACTTACTTTTCTGACTCAAAGTCATCCTGCTCTTCAAACTTCACTGTATATCTAGGTAATCTGCGTTGCTTGATATCAGATGTCGGGTTCCAGAAGATCTCCGAAACATCTGTCTTCTTGTCACTAATAGTAACTTCGCTGTCCTGTAACATATAGAATTCATTTACCTTAATTGTAATAATTTCAAAGAGTGGCAAAATAACACAAAGGGGAGAAATAAGCCTCTTTTTGTTTTTGCAATAAGAATTTCTTTTCTTTTGGATGCACGTAGTTAAGAACAGTTGGATACGCTGCACTCTGCTCTGGTTCTAACTCTGAACAGAGACGCAACGGCACCATTACTGTGTCCAAACGCCAGCGGTGCCAGCGTCATTTCACCAGAACTGAAACAAGTTTAAACACGTCATGCCAGTTCCATAGCAATTCTTCATAGGACTAACACATACTAAAAACATTTCACAAGCTCAAATGTATTTTCTTCATGAACTATTCAAACGGACACAACTTCTCCACCTTTTAGCAGCTGCAGTTAACACTACGTTGATTCTATACTTTCTTGAGAACTAACTATAAAGTCCTTTCTGTAAAAGTGGTACTTAACTCCTTTTTAAAGAAACTTCAGTCTTTTTTGTAACAAGTGCTATTTTCACTTGTTTCAACTATCAGCCAGAATTTATAAAATATCATCATTGCTCACTACTTACCCAGTGACCCTCCAAAATAGCCAGAACTTCCTTGCCAAGCTTTATTTTCCCTGATATTTGGTTAACACTGTCGTTGTTCCCCAAAAAAGGCTGCAAAACAAAAAGAAATGCTTTTATGTTTGTTTTAATAGCAAATTATTTTTGCATTTATGTTTAGTGTTAAGGAAAACAGTGCATTTATGAAATGTGATGTAAACAGCCCTGATGGCTTCTAATATTATAACTGCTGCCTCTTTAATCCCCAAGACAAATCTAAAACCACAGTAAGTTGTTTTCTCATGCTGTATTTTCTCAACAGATTTGCTGAACAAAAGCATTTTTTAAGAAATGTGGCAAGAAAATGGAAAATAATGCAGAAAACAGTGACACAATGATATCCTGGAGGAAATAGTAATTTGCTACACTAATTTCACCGCTTTGCCAAGGACCATTTGTTACTAGAGATTAACTCTTGCAGATGCAACAACAAAAATGATTGCCAGGGATTTTCTTTGGTTTATTTTTTACAGTCTGCACACGTATCCTGTGGGCTGACGAGGCAAAATATCGATTAACACAGCCTCCTAACTTTTATGTTTCCCCTATAATTCCAACTGAATACAGTTTCTCTCTCCACCTGCACACTTCTACTTAACAACTGTTTGTTCAGCTTTAAATCAGTTTCTGCTTCAAAGATGGCAAATGTATTTTTCAGAAGTGCATCTCTAAATAGTTCAGAAACCTTTGTTTAGCCTTTGTAAGGGTGAAAGTGCTCCTACAGCACACACAGCTGCCAAAAATAGTCAGTGTAAATTGTTGCTTAGTAAAGGCTGATAAAAATGTTAGCCAAAGCATTTGCATCATCTTTACTCAAGGTGTCATTAGCAACTTAAATTTTACCCAGGATGGATGAGGGGAACCTGAGTCTGAGTTCTCCTGCAAGTGCTCTCCAGGAGCTTAAAAAGACCCTGAACATTTTTAGAGAATTGAAAAACACTAAGGTATATTAACAACAATACACAAAACACCTGAAACACTGATCAGATCACTAAACACTTCCCCTGATCTTACACTTTCCTAGACACACACTGCTGCCACTGCTGGAGATCAGACAGATGGTTGCTTTCTTAACACACGAGCTGTTCTTAAGAGTCATAAAACTAGCAATATGTTTGCATCTCTTATCAACAGAAATGAAGACAGCGTTGCAAGTTTCAGTCAAAACCTTTGGACACAGAAAAACACATTTAAAAAAGAAAACAGATGACAATACAGTTCCTTGAAGAAAAAAAAAGCAAGCACTATTTGCTAGATATGCATAGATGGATTTGCAACAGTTAAAATGAAAATTCCTCAGTTCCCAAAAATACAAAAGGACAATTCCATATTAAATCAGATCGTATCTAAAGAGTGACATAGTAAGTTCTTTGAAAATTATCATTAAGCTCATGTGCCTTGTGCCCACTGACAGCATTTACCAACCTTGAGTTTGAATTCAATTGTTGCACTGTAGCCAGTTTTCTCACAGGTGATGTTTACTGTTCCCCCAAGCTCTAAGGTCATTGTGCCATAAAGAATTCCTGCAAGAGAAAAACACCACTAAAATGAATGTAAGTTAAGAGTACACTGTTTAGAATAACGAACCATTGAGAATAATAAACTTCTGCTCTCGTAATTATGTCTGCCAACCAGAGAATGAAAAAACCCACTACCTTTACAATGAGCATATGGCATTGTCATTACATAATCTTCTCCTCTGTTTAGGAATGTTAGCCGTCCTTCTCCGTCTAGTATGGCAGATAATGAATTCCCTGAAATCCAAAGACAGAAAATCACATTTACCACCCTGCAAGACAGCAGCGAACATTTCCTAGTAACTGAGGAATAATTGCATCGGTCCTGCAATCAATCCTGTCTAGCAAAGCTACTATAATACACAGCATCTCCAATTAAAAATTAAAACAGTCCAAAAATAGAAATTAAAATTTTGAAGAGCAGTCACAAAAACTTTGTAAGGTAAGATAATACAATGATCAAACCCCCAGTTCTTCTAACAGGCTTCTTTCATCAAAAAAACACAGCTCATTTGCACAGATTTTACAATCCTCAATAAAGGTACAACCAAAAACCCCCATTATTTACCATAGAATTTTGATTTGGCCAGAATGCTACCACTAAGGCAAAACCCATCCTTGCGATTGCTAACATAGAAGGCAGATATTGGAGGATGATGGGATACCTGTTGAAAAAAAGCACATATTTTAAAAAACCACCAAAAATAAACAAAAAAACCCAAAACATGCAATATAGTATAAAACTTGAGCTAATAAAGACAGAATGCAAGATTCAAGCTGCGCATAATAGAATACAGTTAATGTATGTGAAATGTGACTATAATCTTTAGAGTTAAAGATCAAGCAAACACTTACTGAATTTCAACAGTTAAGAAAATTAGCACCTGACTTTTTACTGGAGGAAGAGGGAACAGAAGTGCTGGGAACACCTTTCCCTCTCTCTCTCTAGGAAGACACACTTAAAGAGACATCTGTAAATAAACCTATGCTCATCAGGAGAGCTTTTAGGATACTATTTATATATCTAAATACATTTTCTGACACTACCACATCATTTGACTAGCACAAAAATGCAAAACATTTATGTTTCTTAAAAAGGTTTCTGCCTGTTATTGCAGTTACCTGTTCTGCAATGTAAAAAGTCTTGCTATTTGTCCTTGGATGAATCCACATGCAGCGGAAAGTCTCACCAAGAATAGGATTGTACGGCTTTTTTAGTCCCTAAACAGAAACAGAACAGAGGGTAACCACACAGTGCAGGTACAAAAATCACAAAATACATTATCAGCCTGTCACTGAAGATAAGCCACAAAAAATATAATCATAATAATATATACGCTAAAGTACATTGTTGTTGATTTAATCATTTGAATATTATGCTCAGTTAGTCAGCTCTTCATTCTAAGGAAATTGGCATAGATGTAGTACATCTGCAGAACTATTCCAGGCCACAGAATATAAGGTTTTTTTGTCAGTGAATTATTACGGACCTTTTGTCTGAAGTTCAGAGGTAAGCATTTTCTGCTCTCAATACTATTTCCCACCAGCATGACTATAAAGAGTATTTAGTGTAAAGCTAAATGAAGTAGTGAAAATACTAATCCTCCAATTGAAGCATGACATCAGTGAAGAATACTAAACATTGAACCGGCTCAACTTTATCACAAAATGCTTAGTTCAACTTCTACTCCAAGGGAAAAAAGCCAGTCGAATACAGTCTATTTTAAGCATAGCTAGGGACCAAAAAGGTCCATGATGCATTTATGTAAATAACAAAAATGTAACATTGTTTTTAAAAAATTCATAACAATATGATTTAAAAAGAAAAAAAACTTATTCCAACACATCTCTAAGCCCTCAAACTAGACACAGTGACTAAAGACAAAACAGCATGTGAGAGGACACCTTTGGCTTTTTGTAGAACCCCGACAAATACCACTTCACTACTTTTTTCATGCGGTTGTAAGCATTCTCTTCAAGAGCAGCTCTATGAAACAAACAGAATACACAGTTCAAATATCAATACTGCTTCAGTTATAACACACTATCAATCATTATGATGTATCTTGTAACCAGGACTTGACCAAAACATAGGTTTTGTGATTTGCAGTACTGTAAAACTTTCAGCCTGATCGCACCAAATCCAAAGTTTTCAAATAATTGTCTAAAAATGGAAATCAAACAAAAAATCAGAAATGGTATTCCCATAACTGAGTCTGTTCTTTGTAACATTAAATGCTGTTCCACCTCCACTGAAGCTCTTCCATTTCTACAAGGTACTACTACAGAGAACTGGCCTACTCACATACAGAACTTACTTGTATTTCAATTTACAGTCTTTAATTTATTAGCTACATTTGAGCAAGCAACTATAAATCTGAATGGAGCTTAACACTGTATTAAAGGTTAACTGGGACTTTTACACCATTTTAAATATGACTCCTAGAGAAAAAAATAATGAAACAAATTTTGAGAAGTCTTGTAATCAGTTTCCAAAAGCTAAACCAGAAATGTCTGCAATATAATTGCAATTACTAAGAGGGGCCAGACCTTAAGATGTACCATATGAGCTCTCAGAAAACAAGGACATCTGATGACTGCTATGTTGCCAGACAAACATTCAAATTCTAAGCAGTCTCTGATGTTGCTGAAGCAGACCAGATCAAACATTTCAGTATACACTGTAGACCAGATCAAACATTTCAGTATATACTGTTAACCCATTTTGGTTTAAAAACTGAAAAGAATGAAAAGCAGAGATATGATTGACTCACTCCGACAGAAAGTCTGCATGGTAGTAGTAATCAGACAGCTTGTCCAGGAAAGAACGCGGTTCCAAGATAAATGTAGGCAGCACAACCTTGGACAAGTCCATTCCTGGCCGGACTTGCTTCAGCAGTGTCCAGATCAGACTTTTATTTTCTTCCGACACTACTTCTGTCTGAGCAGCCTCACCGGCCTAGGATGAACAAACAATTGCTTACAGAAAGGAGAAAGAAAACAATCCTCCAGAAGACAGGTCAACACGTTCTTAAGATGCAGTAAGAATGAAAAATGGATACTTAAAATGAACGACTCAGAGAGGCTGAAGCAACTATGGGAGAAAAATCAAGTTTCTCTAAATACGCTTATAATACATCTTTAATGAAGTATGACAGATATACTGTTCAGCACTAAAACCTGCATTTGCTTTCATCAGCCCTAAACCAGAAAAATTTGAGGCAGAATATTGTTCAGAAACGCTCCCTTGGACCTTTCCTAGGATCGAATGCATTAGTCTGTGCTCTCATGTGCAGAACTGTTCATTCGACCAATTTTTCCCCACCATGAAAGCTGCCACATTTATGCTTTCACTGCCTTGACCAGTCAACTGTAACGGTGGTTTTCCTAAAAGAAAATTATAATGAGCAAAACCACACTCCAATATGCTCCTTTCTGTCCAAGAAGAGGGGAGATACTCTTCCTTACAGTTTCTGAAATCAAAAGCAAAAGGTTGTAGGAAAACCATCCCTCTTTCCAGAACAGTTCTAAAATGCATACTCAAAAATTTACTGTCAAATTAAACTCCTCAATTTTTCCTAAACTACTGCTTCTTCTAGAAACAATATGAGAAAGGAATAAAGCACAAAGTATTTCTGTCACACAGTTGTACTCAATAACCTTAAAGGTCTTTTCCAGCCTAAACAATTCTATGATGCTATGAAAAAAACCCAAACCTCATAGTTAGCACTTGAGAAGAATGTGAAAGTGCTCATCTCAATTTCTGTTACTAAGTTTTCTGATATCTTTATAGCAAGTAAAATATACAAATCCCTGTTGCATTTGCCTGTGCAGATACGTAAGACAACCTGCAGAAGTGGAATGGCAGCTCTGGGGTATATTAGAATGCAAGGTGACAGAAGAAACACAGCAAGCCTCCCACCAAATTCCGCAGATCACAGCTGCTTAATTCCTCTCTTGCAGTAGAAAAACAGAGGTGTCAGCTTGCATTAAAATCTTCAACTTCAAGATTTTTACTTGAAAAAGGCAGGGGCAAGTTAATAAAAAAAAAAAAAAACAACAAATAGAAATAACACCAAAAGGATGGGTAGACATAGTCATCTTCTGCTGCAGGTGGCCCTTTCAAACTGAGCACCTTCTGTCTAAGCAATATTCCAGATATTCTCATTATCTCTGTCAAAATCTCAGACACAAGCACAAGAGTGGCAAAGCAAAGCAGAAAAGGGGTGAACAGAATCTTCCTTCCCCATTATTGCTGAAAATCTGAAAGCCAATCCAGCAAGTAAGCTTTCGAGTGTAGTCTGAGTCATAAAATATCAGCTTTCTATTTGGAGAAGCTGCTTGCTCACTACATCAACAGCACTTTTACCTCCCCAAGTTCTTCAGGACTCTGTTCTAAATAAGTGGTTTCCTTGATGTCAATTGGTTCTGGATCGACGTAAGAATCGTCCTGTCGCTCTGATGTGTCGCTATCACTTTCTTCGCTTTTCCCCAATCCATCATTATCAGATTCCTCGTGGTCATGGTCATTCTCCTTATCAGATTTGTCAGAATACATATCTTGGTCTTTAAAGTGATGCCTTTCAATTTCGCTGTCATTTAACCTACAAAAAATAAAGGCTAAATGAATCCTCAACTTCACACAGTAATTTCATGTTTTCAAACCAGGATCTTAATAAAATACACACCAAAATTGCCAATAGCAAGCCTAATCTGGCAGCAACGTCAAACTAACTCTGCTGGAAACATATAGGAAATGGAAACATGTACTCTTCTCACTGAACTATCAAACACACCAGGTTTAGAATAGCTCCGTTGGAAGGGACCTATACCAGTCTTCTAGTCCAACTGCCTCAGCACCTCAGGGATGACCAACAGTTAAAGTATGTTTTTAAAGACATTGTCCAAATGCCTCTTAAACACTGAGAGGCTTGGAGCATTGACCACCTCTCTAGGAAGCCTGCTCCAGTGTTTGACCACCCTCTTGGTAAAGAAATATTTCCTAATGTCAAGTCTGAACATCCCCTGATGTAGCTTTGAACCATTTCCACGTGTCCTATCCCTAGATACCAGGGAGAAGAGATCAGTACCTCCCTCTTCTCCACTTCCCCATCTCAGGAAACTGTACAGAGCAATGAGGTCGCCCTTTACCCTCCCTCTCTCCAAATTAGACAAGCCCAAAGTCCTTAGCTGCTCCTCACAGGACATTCCTTCCAACCCTTTCACCAGCTTTCTTGCCTCCTCTAGATGCATTCAAGGACCTCCACTACCTTCTCAAATTGTGGGGCCCAGAACTGCACACAGGGCGCAAGGTGAGGCTGCACCAACACTGAATACGGAGGGATAATCTTCTCTTTTGACCGGCTGGTTATGCTGTGTTTGATGCACCCCAGGATGTGGTTTGCCCTCTTGGCTGCCAAGGCACTGCTGTTGACTCATACTGAGCCTGCCATCCACCAACACCCCCAGATCCCTTTCTGCAGGGCTGCTCTCCAGCCACTCCTCTCCCAATTCGTGCCCAGTGTTTCTCTGTCTCATGTGCAGAAGCTGGCATTTGTTCTTGTTAAATTTCATGCCACTGATGATTGCCCAAAGCTTCAATCTATCCAGCTCCCTCTGCAAGGACTTTCAAGAGAGTTGACAGCACCCCTCAGTTTGTTATTTTCAGCAAATGCTACTGGTGCATTCAACTCCTGTATCCGCATCATTGATAAAAATATTGAACAGAACTGAAGACCGAGTCTTGAGGAACTTGGTGCCAGCCAGATGTAGCCCCATTCACTACATCCCTTTGAGTCCTGATGTTCACCCAGGTCTTCTCCTAGGGCATCATGAACCTGCTCATCTCACAGCAGGACAACTTGTCCAGAAGGATGCTGTGAGGGACAGTATCACAAGCCTTACTAAAAGCCAGAAAAACTACATCCACCGTCTTCCCTTCATCCACTGAGTGGGTGACCTTATCATAGAAGGATATCAAATTAGTTACAGGACATTCCCTTTGTGAATCCATGTTGACTGTGGCTGATGATTGCATTGTCCTTTACATGTCTTTCAATGGAAAATCATGGTCCCTGCACCTGTGGCCCTCCAACTCAGAGGACTGGGCAGCTCAAGGTCTTCCAGTATTATTAAAGACTGAGGCAAAAAAACCCATCAAATGCCTCTGCTTTTTATTTATCCCTATTTTTCAGGTGACCATCTTCAACAAGTATCTGTCCAATGTTTTCCTTGGATCTCCTCTTAATATTAACATACTTAAGAAGCTAGTTCACAGTTGAAGCAAATACGGCTTTCACCTTTCTTCTCCCTGTCCTGCCAACCCCATTAAAACCAGGCCTGCAAGTTCTGTTGCTTAGATAGTTAAGCACACTGAATACTCTTAGAAAATGCTATATCCAAAGATCTACTTAATTAAACTATTAGTCTTAATTAGACTTAACAGTTGTAGCTAATTGCTGTGATTGTAATCTGGGCCAGCTGCTGATGTTAAACTACTATTCACGAGTACAGATCTCCAGATGAATTGTACACAGCGGTTTTGTTGTTTCCATGAGCTAATAGAAGGAGTAAAACTGTAACTGAGCCTGCTTGGTCATCTGGATAAGGCCTTGAATCTGGGCTGGAGGCAATGATGTGCCTTTTCTGTGGTTTCTCAGATCATCTATGGCAGAGAGAATTGCATTTCTCCCATTCCAGGCCTTTTGTCTCAAATACAGGCACGTACTCTTAACAGTAGTAAACCACAGTACAAAATTCCTGCTCACAGAGAAATGACAGATGGGCAGCTAAATCTTCATAGGTGAGAGGGATTATTTCAAATACATTTATGTCCACCTGAAAGTGCACCAAATTGGTGGAATATTACTGAGAGAAACTGTGCATAGCACAAGCTTCAGTCCCAGTTATTTCAAATAAAGGACTAAATCTTTTCTATTTTCTAATGCACTTCAGTACCACAACTGAAGTGTTTGAAAACACCATTCATTCGCCATGCTCCTTTAATAATAGATTTCTACAAAAACCCATGCTTGCAAAAATCTGTCTGAAAGTATTTATTGAAATAAACAGGAGTTACTCAGGGGCACTCAGACATTAGATACCAAGTGATATCAGATAATTTCAACTTTTGTGCATTTAATTTAATATAATGATAGGCTGACTGAATCATTATTCACCTGTCTGATGATTCAAAGCTGAGACATGCTGAAACCATTTAAATAATGATAGGATTATTCATTTCTTTAATGAAAGAACAGCAACTTATATTCACATCTACCAATCTTCTTTTCAGGTGATGCTAACAAGGGAGACCAAGTTCAAGACACAAAAATTCAAAACTTTAACAGTTTAACTGAGTACTTAAACTTACTGATGTGATACTCAACATTGAGTTCCTTGGGCCAAACTTTCCTCTTTCACTTGGCGTGAAAAAAGATTTGTATGTAGGTAAAACGATAAATATAAAACACAGTACAAACAAGGCATCTAAAAAGAATCCAGAAGCAAAAAGAATTGCAGCCTTTGAAAGACATTCTCCCTGTGGAGAAGTTATCACTACAAGGTTCTGCCAAAAGGACAATCAGGTTTAGTAATTAATTCACTTACGGTAAGTTTTCTCCACTGTGCAAGTTGTTAGCACGAAGCAGACCATAGAAAGAGACATGAGTACTGTCTGCTGAAGAGTTCAAATCGTGTTCTTTACCTTCCCTAATCATTGTACGTTTAAGCAGACTTGAACATTTCAGTGCCAGCTCCAAAGCATCCATCCAACACCTGCCTAAAGACAAATTTATTATTAGACTAAATGAAGTTAACTGAACTATACAACTTCCATTTCCTAATTTCACAATCATTTTGAGTCTGCTTACACTGCCTTTGAAGACACACTTCAGAGTTGTTCCATATTATATGCACTGGATTTTATAATCTGATGGGGACATAACTCACAACTACCCAGGTTTGGTCCAAGGGATGCTTCAGGGTAGGACAAGCAAGGTAAATCAAGCTTCTCTTAGAGCATATTCCAGCACTTCTTCCTTAAGGTCCCATCTAGGTCCTGACTGTTGAATTCCTCCAAAGCTGTCTGCAGTACTCCTCTAGCTTTGAAGACTAAGTAACTGCACCAGTTGGCAACATTTGCTCATCTATTACATGGTAACAATGTGGAAAAGTAGCTATAACACTAGCACATAACTGTTTTTTCCATATAATAGCAGACATTCTAATTTTTAATTTTATTTTTTTTTTGCAAAAAGTAACTAAACAAATTTGTGTGTCCTTTCCACTCCTTATTTCTTCGTTTCCAGGTATCTAAGCCATGTTCAATACAGGAGGCAAACAGGGTCCCATTTTTAAAGTCTGCAGGGGTATGGTTAATTAACCAGTAGAAGAAAAGCAGCTAGAAAGGTTACACAACAGTCCTAAATTTTGTTTCCACATCGTAACCTTTGAAGGTGGTTGCACTGATATTGACCACCACTTTACCAGTCATAAAGGGTGTTACAAAACCATATTTTGAGCTAAATTTTAAGACTAGAACGTTGTGCAACTGCTGCACTTTATAATACATAAAGTGTTACATAAACATATATAATTAAAGCATTCTAGAAATATAAACATGTCCATGTTAGCAACCTAGAAAGGAACTAGCTTGAGACATACATTAACAGTTAAATCTGAAATACGCCCTTCCCCCTCCTCTACCCAGCCAATGCAAGGCAACTGCAGAGAGTTCAACGGCAGTTTCTTCAGGTCAAAATTTTCCTTCAATAACCATGAATAACTACTAGTACAAACACAACTGAATGCACTAAGCTAAGGGAGAACCTTAACAAAAACTGCAGTCACAGTGCTGTAATAGACATGTTAAGGCAACTGAAGCCATCTCTTTCTAATAACTAACTGCTCTTAGCTAATAACTAAGCACTGAAATAGTTAGTTACCATCTGATTCTGAAGCGGCTCGGATGATCAAATAACTGCTGGGCAATGGCTGAGTTATAGAACCAACTGCTTCACCTTTGGGACCCTTGAAATACACAAAACAAGCAATAGCATCAGACATTTCAGCTCAGTTTTACAGTTCATCATACAATGTAACAACAAGCTGACACACCGCAGGGCTATGTACTGTCACTCAGCAACATCTAATGAAGACATGGATGGAAAGATGGACAGCCCTCTTTCACTGGATTTCTTCTTCAAAGACTTTGTTCTAAGTATAGCTCCAAATTCAATCCCGCTTCAAAAAGAACGGTCTTTGGGATTAAAATAATTTTTGATGTGGGTTTTTTGGTTGGTTGGTTGGGTTTTTTTTTTTAAGTAAGACTTGGCACAGTAACTTGGAAATGCTCTGCTGATGCTACTTGTATAGCAAGACGACAAAAGCATCAAAAGGAATGCTACGGGGGAGTCACCCTCACTGTCGAGGGATTCCTGCAGATGGGTGTAAAGAGATCACAAGGAAGAAGCCACTCCTCTTCAGCTCAGTATTTCAGCTGAAGAGGCAAGACTGAAAGCAAGCAAAACTAAAGACACGTCTGTGGGGTGGCTTAAGAGTTGATTTACAACAAACGCTGCCCCGTAGAAGACCCGCACTTGTACAGCAACAGGTTCTTCCCCCTCCGGTCCCATTGGTTATTGATGAGAGCAAAGGTTCCTCTCAATTCCTACGAGGATGCTATGGATCACTGCACAGAGAGACATGAGGGCAAGCCAAACCCCTGCAGAGAACAGGAAGTCCTCTTCAGTGATCCACTTCACGCTTACTTTACATGACAATGTGTGTGGTGTCTCAGCAGCATCCAGAACTGCATGGTTTTTGCCTGTCTTCAAAAGACATATAAGCCAACTGATACTTAAAAAAAAACGGAAATAACTCCTCCCACTCCAACACTATGTATTGCTATAGGAACCCACTCATCCTTTCTCTCTCCCTCCTTCCCCTTCAACCTTTCCATCTATCCAGCGGTCAATTCCACAAAATATTTAGATGCCTAACTGTAAGCTTGGCATTTAAATAAGAAAAAAAACCAGATGCCAAGGTCCATAAAAACATTTACATGCTTAAGTCTCTCTATAAAGGGTATCAGCAGGACACCATGACATTATGTTCAACCAAAAGACACACAAAGGATGTCAAATGCCAAAGTTTAATTTTCAATATTTCACAAATTAAAAGAAAAAAAAAATCCAAAAGACCTTTCCATTTGTGTCGAGCTTCATTTTGGAATAAAATGCTAAACAACAATTTTAAAGCTCCTTCAAAAAAGTTTCCCTGTGGTAATTTTAAGACAACTGATAGGCAAAGAGGGCTGTATTAAACATACTTGAAGCTATTGTTGAAAGCTGGGTTAAGCCTGCCTAACTGATGAGTTAACACATTTCAGTCTGGATTGATTTCCCCCAGGGAGAAGCCTGATGAAAAGCCAGTACAAGGCTTAGAAGAGGGAATTGGAAAGCCAGCAGAAGTTTTGAGCAGAAGCAGATAAAGGCAGATATTTTAGAAGCAAGCAAATGAAACAGCCAGAACGTTTCTGAGGGTGAGACGTGGGTAACAAGGAGTATTGGTGGCATTTAAATACCAAGAGGCAAGCTAGTGCTGGTGTAAATGATGTTCAGAAACTCCTGAGTAGTCAGTACGGAGTAACAGCAACTTGGGTTTTAGAAACAAGATTCCCAACCTCAGTCACCCTCTGAGTGAGCAGAAATGTGTTTGGTGAAGTGGCAATACAAGGATTAGGAGTTAGTGGGTAACAAGGACCAGGAAGGAAAACCCCATCCATGAGCAACCACTGTCCCAAGGGCAGGCAGGGACAGATCTCACTCTCACTGGGCCCTGGGGAGGGGAGAGCACCTCAGCTCAAGGCAGGGGAGATGTGCTGGGGCGCTGCACAGAGGAGACTGCGGCACCATGGGTGCACCAACGCCATGCAAATACCCTAGCCCATCACAAGTCCTCGAACTCTCAGGTCACAGGGCACAGACTAAGGGCAGATCTCTGCCCGCGAGATCTCCCTTTAGGGTTATTCTGTGGGCATGCAGGGTGCACTATTCAGTCTGTACCAAACTGCTATAATTTAGAGATGAAGCGTGGTTTTGGTGTTTGGTTTTGTGGTGGTTTTTTTAATGCAAGAAAGCTATACTACTTTAGGTGCTATGACAATACATTAATTAAAACTGAATGAATAATTTGCAGTGAACATTTAAGTAGGTTGACTTATTTTGAAATAACAGTTCATGGATCTTGATTTCCTCTGATTGATTACTGTTCCAAAAGCACTGGACATTTTTCTTTGTTATCACTCATTATGGTTTCAAAATCAATTTTCTGTATGTTAGTGTTCTGCACAAGAGAAACATCAATTTCCAGTTGTTAGGGGACTTTATTTGAACTCTCTCTGTTCCTGACAGAACACTGGTACAACTACTCCAATACAAGGTAATGGGGCAAGTTAAAAATTCCACTAGATTAAAAAAACTGTAAAATTTACTTCCTACAGAATATGCATGCCAATAAAACTCAAATGCCATGAACATTCAGAGAAAGCAATAAAAACTGATAGGCACTCACACTTGACTAAATCTACTCATGCAGTAACTGTTCTAGTTACTAATTTTAGGAAACTGAAACGGCATCAGGACTGGGCACACGAGGATGCCAGAATGAGGTACAGTGCATCAGCTACCTCGGGGTGCAGGAGGAACATCAGAGACCACAGCAACAGGCTTAAGGGCGCGTGTGAATGGACTGAGTGGCCACCAACTACTGCAGAAGAGAACTTGCAGCCTGCCAGAAGGACACACCACAGGCAGTGTGCTCAAGCGAGGAAATCTCCTGCAGTACTGAGACCCGCGTACATGTTTCTTGCAATGTCATCTGTCTGCACTGATGGCAAACAAGGCTCGTTCTGGTAAATCTACTCTGTAAATCAGTCAATTGCTATTACACTTACGAGAGTTTGCCTCATGATAATAAATCTGTAACTAGGACGTTATAATTGACTAGGTAAACAAGACAGAAAAAGGTTTCAAACTTCAAGGCCTTCCATGTCATTAAACCCAGTAATTCTCAACTGCGAATAGCCAAACCAAAATGAATAAACGCCACTCCAGCTCTCAGCACATTTAGAATGGACAATATCAACTTGTTCAGGTTCAAAATTTGACCTACCTTAAAAAAGTAAAAATCTGGTGGGGCATGTCCTCTAATTTCTAAATATCTAGTTAAAAAAACAAACAAATCCATTTCTCATTGCCAGGCAATAAAGAAATATAAGACTGATTTGTGATCTTCTGTAGACAGGCCACCACTTTGCAATGTATGTATACATGATGACAAACAATTAAATCACATCAACACTAAACCCTACAGCTTTGAAAAAGGATATGAAGTTTGTGTTCTGCAAATGTGAGATCACCGCTAATTACTGAAAAGTCTTCCTTAGCAATGGTAAAATAAAACTGTTCAATAGCAACTACAAAAGATTTTATCTAAGCTTGGTAAATGTAGATAACACTGATAAGGATAACAAGACCACAAACAAACATCAGGAACTACACCAGCTGACTGACTTCCCAGGCTGAGATAAAGACAAAATCAATGCAGCACATTCTACAGATGTGACAGTACCTCTAGATCAAGATAAGATTCAGAAGATACAATCTCACAATTAATAACTATCTTAAGATGAATGTTGCAGAGAGCATAATTAATTTATTATGACAAGTGTCCTAATACTGTACAGTCATTTCATCTAAAGCAAGATGTCATTTCAGGAGGTAAATATGTTCACTTGTGCTGTGCTTCCACACCCCCTCTCCATATGTAAACACAAAACAAGGACTATTATAGCTTGTTTACTAGAGTCTAAACAGTGAATATCCGCAGACATTAAAGATTCTTACGAGAAACTTAAATAAACCTTTGCTGTGCAGAACACACTGCGCTTTCCAACACTTACAGGTAAGAGCTGCTCACAATATTATATCATGTATGACAAAGCAAACCAACATCAGAACCGAATGAAAACATTTATCTTCCTAAAATTGTAGCCAAAAAGGAACACAGTTGGCTAATAATTTGTAATATAAGCTATTATAGCACACGGAAGTAATTAGAATTTCTACTCTTATAAGCACATTGAACTAAGCTGACATTTTATTACATGAATATAGGGCTGGAAGCCAATAAATGTTTATAACATATCTCAACTCTTTCACTTAGCCAAATCACTTGCCTTCTTAATTTCTCAGATTTGACTGATGAAAAGTATGACATTACACACTCATTCCTTCCACTTACATGATTGCCAGTGACAGTATTAACCTTTTTAGTGGCATCCCTCTGCACACCACACTTCTGAAGCTATTTACGTATACAGAGCAGCATAAGTCAAATACTTTTTGTGATGAAGAGGACTACATGTTGAAGGCTTGTATTCAGAACAGACAAACCATTAACGTTATAACAGAAAATACAGTTCAGTTTTTCATTAAGGTTGTCTTTACTCATAACTGGCTCATGCTAGTCATCTGTTAAAAACCATATATGCTACCACTAACCTTTATAGCCCATATGGACTGCTCCAAAGGATGAAAAAGTTTGAAACAAAAGCCATCTTTTTTAGAAGGCCTCTCAATGAGTTCACAAGCGTTCAGGAGCACTGTTCCTACCCACTGGCCATTTTTGGGCGTTTTGTAAACAAGCAACACTCCTGGTTTCAGTACACACCACAGCTTGGTCCAGCTTTTCAATGTACCACGAATCTAGAAGACAAAGAGTTAGTTTTAGCTCAGTGAAGCCAATACCAAAACCACCCCTCTTAACAAATGAAAATTTAAATTTAAATTACTTATTAGTTTTTATCTGAAGCAAAGTTTAATGAGGTCTATCAAGAGTTTACCCAGGTTTATCAAAGACAATACAAAGGTACTATTTCAGTGCTCACTATTCTATTCTTTCTTGATGAATACTTAATCTACAACTGGGTATACACACATCCAGATATGGGAAGTACGGCAATTCATCTGAAACCTTAATGCATTTTCCTATCTGGAACATATTTTATAACTAGCATGAAGACAATCATCTTCAGAAACTGAGTTCCTTTGAAAACAGGGCAGATGTGCGATAAAAATTTTAAAAAAAGATTCACAAAATAACTCAGATATATTTGAATTTCTTAGATAAAACCCCTTATAACAGCTGTTAGCTTCAACCCAGTGAAATAGAAGATCCTTTCAAGTCCCTGAATTTGCACATCTCATTAGACTGCTTGCATCAATTCTGTCAACTCCGGATTTTAATTACCTCTGCCTCCGTAGGACTGAATGCCAACTTGACATCTGAGCAGTGCTTTAGCTTGTTTACACTGACTTTTCAAAAACTGGAGAAACTATTCCCAGACAAGCTATTGTTTGAAGCTAACTACAAAGAATGGGCAACAGATCTTTTTTCTTGTAAAATTTCCAAGGAATGTATTTACAAATTTAATGAATTATAGACAAATATATGAACTGCATTACTGCTGATGACACTGACTTCTATCTTTGAGAAATTAATTCTTCCCATTTTGTATCAGTATTAGAGGACAGTTAGGCCTTAAGAGAGAAAAGAAAAATACAAGAAATATACAAGAAATTTTGTATTCAAATATCTAATATGACTGAACCACGTTCACTATTGTAACGGATGTAACAGAGCTTCAGTTCACAGTGTAAAATAAAAAGGACAAAATACGAATCATAAGCCAACTCATCTAAAGTTAATGGATACACACACAAGATGCATGTGACTACAGTGACTGCAGTAAGTGAGAGCTAGGCTCTTCTACTATTCCCCTAGGATCTGAGCACAGAGACCCTGGGATGCAATCAGTGGCTGCTGCGCTTGTAGAAAAACATTAACGGCAAGTAAAAGATTGAGCCTTTTCTGCTCTGGTCAGAAAGAAGCAAGCAGCTGCTGCATCTTCAACTCAGGTTTCACACTTGGATTCTGACCTTCAGCCAGTCAGCCATAACAATAACTGATGGGTCTGTGATAGTGCTGAGTAATTCTTTTGTAGCTCTCTTCTTTTCTTCTCTGTAGTTTTTCTTTTGAACCTGTAAATATTAATAAAAATATTTACAATGCCACAGCCATAAACCAGTAATCTGAGCACAAAAGACATCTATCACTAAAAGCTGAGGAAAAATATGCTAAATTCAATTTGCAATACAGACACAGAAGTAGCTTCAAAACTGAGTATCTGACTTTTAGTTGTGAACAACTCATGCTCTGTTTCAAGAGCAGCTACCATGTAACCAATTTCAGATTCATCTAAAATTTGCTTTTAGAACTGAGGACTTTGAAACTCCTGTTAGAATCACAGGGGGAAAACCAAACAATCCCTTTCCCCTGCTTCCTTTCCTAGTGTAAAGTATAAAACCAAATTTAGGCCAGATGCATATTTACATGCACATTATCTGATCAGCAGTCTTTACTCACCAATTATTACTTTAGTAGAAAGTTACAGCATTGTATCTCCCTGTCTTAGAGCCAAATAATTTTATGTTTCTCCTGACATAATATCTGCCAAACAGTGGAGCTTGGTCGCCTTACAACACAGGGGAAGAAGGCAGTAGAAATACCACAGGTACATTACAGCTTTGGTAATTCAATTTGTCATTTGTCATATCATTGCATGTCTTGAGGGTCCCTGCCAACCTGAATTATCTTATGATCTTCCAAGTTATCGTACAATCTTGTGCCATCTTAAAGACTGCATTACAGAAGCCTGTACTCAAGGAACAGCACAGTAAGATTTGAAGAGAATAAACACCACAACTTCTCACAATACTTAAATATTCCATAGGTCTCATTGCTACTTGTTTTTTTGTCTTCTCATTAGAGAATACAGTAAAACTATGTGAATGCATTTATAGCCCACAAGGAGTTGGAAATAAATTCACCTTGAGAGATTCTTTTTTTGTAAGTTTGCTTGAAGATAGAGAGATGTCCTTCTCAGAGCCATTGAAAAGCTTGGATTCAGACTGAAATTCACAAAACACATCACAAATAAATGACAATGACAGACACAAGGACATATTGTTGCAGGCATTAGAAAGTGCTTGAAGTGCAGAGTTATATTTGTAAGGTTCCCATTCCCACTTACTTCTCTACTGTTTCTCTCACAGGGAAAAAAAGTACACATGAGCTGTTCACCACTTATTTATGGACTCTTTTCTCATAAGGTTTTATGGGAAAGAAGTCGGAGATTCCTCCAGAAGCAGCTGAACTATATACAGTAAATACTTGGCCCATATAACCTGTTACTTCACATGTCACAGTCCTGACTAGTTTGACATTATTTTAGCATAGAGAAAGTTTTAGGAGAATCCCGGTGTTTAAACACAGGAGTTGTTATGCTGCCATGACATACAAATCCCAACATCTTCATTCATAACTTGACAGCTCCTCTGAATGGATTGCTATGGAGACACTTACCCCGTGACCCATGAAGGAAAAGACAGCCTCTTCAGTCTAGGACTCAGCGCTCTATAAATCACCAGAGTAAACTGACCACTAATGGCACTCGTTCTGCTCCTTCCTCCCTAATCCCACGCTCCGATTACTTTGCAAGTCATCTTCAAGAAGCTGACAGTGGTGACAGACAGGAATAGGACCCAGGTCAGTTCACAAAACCCAAGTCCTTGTTCATGGCAGGACGAGGTGCTGCCTCAGTACCAAGCGTTTGCTCCTTCCTGCCTCCCACCCACATCTCGCAAGGTTCAAAGTTTATTCCTTGGCATCTGTTGCCTACTAGTTGAAAAGGAACTAGAGCCATCAAATATTCACCTTGGGATACAGAGCTCTTAAAAAAAAAAAGGAAAAAAATAAAAGAAAAAGTGGAGTCTATCACAAAGTTATCATGTCATTCCTACTGCAAGTCAGAGTAGGTATCCACTATATGTAAAGTTCAGATAAATCACAGAGAGTTGCATTTCTTTGTGCACTGACATATAAGCCTGATGGACCAAAAGTTCCTGCCTAGTCAAAAATAAAAAAATCAATGTAACCTTCTAAACTGTGTGAATTGAAGGGCAGTTTATAAAAACTGCTTCTCAAGCTGTTCAGCGTTTCTGACGAATCATTTCAAATCTCAGACTACACTGCAAAGTCTATTCACTGAATTTCTACTTTGGAATACTATAAAAGAAGAGTTTAAAAAAAGAGTGATTTTTGAGAGAGCTTACTGCAATAGTAAAACCAGTGCACTTGAGCACTCTTTTTCTTAACACACAAGTTGCTCAAACCAAAGAAATAAAAATTAAAGATTTAGAAGTGGAACAAAGCAATTTAACTTTGACCCTACTTTGATGCCTTTAATACAGAACTAAGACTTTACAGGGGTCTACTTAGATAGCTATTATCAGAAAGATGTGCAATAACTGGCAGAAAGTAATTTTATCTCAAGATCATTTCAACAATAAGTAAATGTTCTCTAACTTCCATATGCATCTTGGAAAAATGAAGGAAGCCTCTTTGTGTTAAAGATACGTTCTTGACACTCAAAATTTGACAAGCATACAACTTGAAATTTAATTCCCCTATCTAAAACCTAAAGGAAATACAGTACTTTAAATGTAATAACAGAAGAGGGGAAAACGCTTATCGCTGTCACATAAGAAGGGGTAATGAATTCGTTATGCAAGCTATAATGGAGAAACTTAAGCAAAACATTCATAAATATTCTAGTTGCTCACTAACAGAAAGCTAATGCAACCTAAAGGTCATGCATATAAAATCCCCGAACAAGTAAGTACCACAGGTCACAAAAACTAATTTTCTCAGTATCTCAGTTGTAAAGCTCACTAATATGACACTGAGTAAAGGTCCATATTTAGAGCTCATCAACAGATTATGAGACAGATCAGTGATTTGTATATTTTTAAGGCAGTAACTTTCTCAGTGCTAGATCCACACAAAGTGGATAGGATCAAAATCCAAAAGAAAGAAGAAAAAAAACCCAAAACATTTTAAGAGAACCTACTGCAACTCCTAGTGAGGTACATTCAGTACCAGATCCTGGGCAAGTCTCACCACTGCTTTTCCATCCTTACTTAGAAAGGAGGGCTGCTACTTCAGCTCCACAGCTGCAACAGACAGTTACCACCATCTGCTAGCCTGAAGTTTATTTGCGGGTTATAAAGGGACCACTACTCTTATCAAGCCCCACATGCAGTAATTGCAAAAATATGGATGAAGAAAAATATGTATTATTATGTGTATTATATTAGAAGAAGTAGGAATATTTGGTCTCATCTCTGACAGCAGAAAGACACAACTAAAAGTAACAGCAAACCACACAAAGACTGAAGATCATGGGAAGACAAGAACCAAGAAAAATAAATAAGAGAAAAACCAAATTGGACAGTCAAAGATAAATGATTAATAGAGTCTGAAATAAATCCCAGTTAAAAGAGACAGTATTAACTTGATTTCCAAGTCAAAAATTATTTAGAGGCTTCTGGACCAACATAAATATCTTGACCAGAAGCAAGCTGGCTGGTAAAATATGCTCCCCTACAAGTGAGGTTCTAAGATGCAGCAAAGCTGAGAGATGCAAGTTGTGTGATTCCGGGTCAGATGTAAGACACCAACAGCTTGAAGTGCTTTGCTACACACCACAGAAGTGCAGCATCAGCTGCAGAAACTGATCTGCTCACCCCAGTGCAATTCTGATGACACCACATAAGCAGAGAAACACTACTATAATCTTTAAGTCGCTTTGATTTCCTTTGGCATCTGTTTAACATTTCTCTTGAAGGCTGTGACACATGGCATATCACAGAAAAATGTGTCAAATAGTACAAAATTGGTTTTTTTGAGTGCAATCCCCCCATCTGCCTGTGTCTAGGGCCAGCTCTGACACTGCAGGACGTTGACCTTGCAGCTGGGGGAAAAAGCTGTGTGAGAAAGCAGCGGGAAGCAGCCATCTCCCCCACTTCTCCTGGGAGCTCCTTGTGTTCAAACTCAGGCTCTCACCCTCCCCACTGCAGAGCGGCCCATGTCTGCTGCACCTTGGCAATCTGTTTTAAAACTTTATTGCCACATTTGCCTCTAAAAACCAGTGGACATCCTAGCAGAAAATAGAAAACCACACAGCTGGGTAATTCAAAGCCTTTAAACCCTGTCCTGTAATCACGTCTAAATAAGGAAGACGAGTGAACTTAGCCACTTCATTCAGTGACCAAATCATACACAAAATACAATCTTTTCCTCTTCTCTTTAATCTTTAATGTCTTGAAGAGAAAGAGACGCCTGCTTTATGAGACAGCCATCTGAAAACAGTTTTCTTCTGGAATTCCACATTCTAAATACATAAAAATTAGTAGATAAAAATTCAGTGCACTGATATGCCAGGCACTTTTGCTTACCAAAATGCTCACACTCTTCAAGAGTTACAACAGGCCAACAAATAAAGTTGCATGAGAGCGCCCTATGCAGTGTCCTAAAACTGACTGGTTCTATAACTGTAACCTACAAATTTAAAAGGACTTGGGAAAGGAAAAGATAGCTACGGTAGATTTTGCTCTATGCAACTACAGTGTGCACACAGTTTCAATACCATCAGAAAATAACATTTCATTCTGAATAAGAATGCTACTCCTGTAAGCTAATTGCAATCAGAACAAAATACAGCTCTGGAGAGAAGAGACTACATAAAACAAGTCTTTTTGGTTGGCTCAGGAAGTCCATGTTTTCTTCCTCTTTAAAGCTTAGCCATGCCAAGATGCTATGGCTTGGTGACTGCAGCATCCATCTCCCAAATCCACTTTGGACGCTCTCAGTTTTCACACTCCCTCTCAGTAAGCTTTTTCCATCCCTTGGATGGAAACACTGTGATGATTATGAACTTGCCTGGCTCCTGCCTTTTCCATTTCTAATATCAAGACTACCAGAAACCATCATCATATGTAGCAATTATATCCAGCTTAATGTTCTGCTGAGCACACTTTCCTTTGCAGTCTCATTGCCTCAATGAGCTGGGCCTTTGTATCTGAATTCTGAGGTTCAGAAGCCTTTGCAACAGACAGAACAAGAGACTACACTTAACTATGTTTTTAATCTGGCAGTTTAAGCCATTAAACTAAACCTTTTCCAATTACAGTTTCTTTAACATTCTTGTAAGAAGATTTGCTGCAGCTCAGTGAACAGCACCTTCACCCACAGCTTAAAAGGATTTTAAATTCTGTTCCATAGCAAGAATTGGCCTCCATCCATCGTTACATTTGGCAAGACCAACATCCCACCCCAAGATGACACTGAGAAGACTCCACGTCTCATTTTTACTAATTTGAACAGTCGATTTTCATGGCATTCTGAGAACTATATTAAGAAATTCCCTTTAATCTTTACCTATTGCTGAAGAGTAAACTTCAAGATCACCTACCACAAAAGTTAAACACATTTGCATTTAACTAAAAGTGCACAACTCCCCTGCACACTGACATTTTTAAACCAGATTAGGAGGCTGCTTTCCTTACCTTGCTTTTTGACATGGAATGTGCAGTATCCTCTTTGCTTTGTGACACATCATCCTTCCCTTTGTCAAAACCTTAAAGAAAAGACAGCATCATTGCAAGTGATTCGAAGACATGAAGATTTTATATAAGCTCGCCTTTAAAAGAGATTTGAAAATTGTGTTTTAGCATAAAAAAGTGCAAGCAAATTGGATTTTTGTATACATACCAGTCCATCAACGGATACCATCACATCAATGGATAACATACCAGCTACCACAACATAAACTAATTTAACACCCACTAAGAGATGAGAACAGTCCACTGTATTTGGACAGTGCTACAATCCAATAACCTGATGAATAGCAAATGCGGTGCATAAACTTTTGACCTTTTATCTTCCTGATCTCCCCTGTCTGCATACACACATACACAGAGCTGCATAGTAAATAAAGCATTTTTTGGTTTGCTCATTTCTGTAGCTAGAAATAATTGTTAAATACCACCTACATGAAAGCAAATCTAAAACACTGATTAAGATTGCCAGTCAGTTTTCTGCAAGAAAATTTAAAAGGTTGCTTGGACTAACCTTGAATTTATACTTTTTATAAACAGGAATAAGACAAACTGCGCAAAGTATTTAAGTAAAAATGCCACCATTTGCATGTCCTCCAGACAGAGGGCAGATAAATATGAAGTCGTACTTAACTTCCAGAATAATCCACGCAGCTGAAAGGCCTTGCCTGGCTCCGTCAGTGGTACCCAGCAGAGGGCACTACACCAGCAGGTAAATTGCATAAACGGACACCAAAAGCTCTTCTGAGCCTCCCTCTGAGCATCTTCCAAACTTCGAAATAGAAATTGGTAGGTATATCTTTAAAATGGGAAGATTTATCACATAAAGAGTTTGATTTCACATTCTCCAGGGCAGCGGGTGTATGTGTGGAGAGACTTTGTGAGCTTTAAAAGAATTTTTAACTCTCTGCAGCAGTGCTGAGTAGTCTGTTCAGTGTAGGATTATTATTAATTTTTTAATTAGTATTGTCACTCTTCCATAACTTAAAATACTCAGAAACTCTAAGACAGGACTGATTCATCTATCACAAATACACATCTTGGGAAGTTTCACTAAGTTATAGAGGTATTAGGTTGGTCTTCAGGTTATATGAGAAATCTGAGGTTCCTCTTAGTTTTGGTCTCATAGCCAGTTTTGTTTGTTTGCTTGTTTTGTTTTGTTTGTATTTACTACCTTTTGCAGAGATTTTTTTTTTAGGACCAGATTTTTAAAAATTATATACTGCAATACAATGATATTTCATTTTATGTTTACAGAAATAAAACCATATATGCCTTTACAGAAAGAAACCATATATCCCTTTACATGTCTTTATAGAAGCCCCTCTGTGCATAGTTCATTAAACCCATCCTTTTGAAATTCTTCCAACACGACCATGATAGGTTTTTCATCTAATGAAAACCTATAATGCAGAAGACTACTTGAACACAGGGAAGTACCACCTAGACAGGCAAAAGATTTGCAGTGCTAGGGAATCCAAAGGAAAACAAAACAAAACAGAATAAAGCAAAACAAAACCCCAAAACCTCCCAAAAAATCTCTCCCCCCCCAAAAAAAACCAACCCCAAACTAAAACATTTTCTACAGCACCAGTCATCAGGTGCTGAAACGAAACAAAGACTGCTTCAAGCCTCAGAGGACAGACCTGCCTTAGATCACTGAGAAGTGATCAGATTTGATGCCAGTCTTAGGCAGTCAGACACACACCAGAACCATCAAAATGAGATTTTCTCTTCACTCCCACAGTCAAAAGAAATTTCCAATTAGGAACCAAGTTCCACTCGAAGTGCAATGCAGCTATTTTCTAATGGCTTTCGAGTTTTTATGTGTTTGTTCATATGCACATACAAAAGAATTAGCAATGGGAATCGACAAGAAAGTGCTAAGCCATGATAGTTCTTACAGAAGAGAAGCTGTAATGCACAGCCTGCTTTCTAAATCACAGCATCTCTAAGGGCTCTACACATTCTTATCTAACACACATCTGGTTTTATTTTCATAAACAAGCTTTGCATTAGTATCACCAATGAAAACAGAATGAAGCACTGCATCCCAGGGAAGCAGACACAAAGACCAAAGCTCAGTGGCATTTCCCCAAACTTCACCTCCTTGCTTGCAGAATCTCAAGCCCAAGAGGTGTGGGTCCTTGCAGATTCATAAACATGCCACCACCTTGCCCTGCTCTGCCTTGGTCTGTGAGGAAACCCAAGCAGTCAGCTTCACGTCTCACACCATGCTGGAACTTTACCTTCTGCAGAAGGGATAAGCTTACTCCAAAATGGACTTTTCTCTCCATGTGATAAAAAAAAAAAAATCAATCATAATTTAGGTGCTGATCCAGACACAGCCTTACCCAGTGTAAGGACACTATTTCCAGGGAGCCTCTAATAAGATGGAGAGACCTCAATACCATAAGCAGTCTCACTTCTTCTGACAGGAACAGTTTGATACTAACGCCTGCAGGGAAATCTGTACTGAAACATCATAAAAAGCTACATATGGGCCCAAGCTGAGAATGAGATCTATTTTGCCATGGAAATACTTGGTCAAGGAAAAAACATAATCAGCACAATTATATTAATAGAATCCACTGTAAGAAATCCTGTTCTCTCCCTTCCTGCTACCAGTTACGAACAACAAGTTTCTCTATGGATTTGTCACAAAGACAGCAGCAAAGCCAGGGAAACTGTGCTTCTAAATAATGTTTTGGGTTATTGCTGTCTTCATAGTTTTGGTTGCCCCAGAGGGACTGAAAATTGCACCAGAAAAAGTCACTGAAGTCAGTATGTGGAGCAGAGCCTGCCAGGGTATGAGAGGCAGGCTCTCATAAAAAGAATGCATTTCAAGTTTTCCAATGTTCATCAGCAATGGGTTGGGGCTTCGTATTTTAGCTTAGATGCTGTTTTCCAACCCATAATTCAATGGGGAACTCTTTAATAAGATAACCTGAACTCACATTTCACAATGTATAAATCCAGGTATTGAACATGCATTCCCTTTCTGTAACTTCCTCTCTATTAATTCTCTTAGATTTGTGTTTCATTTTCTACCTAATATTGTGACAGCAACCTTCAGAGCCAGGTGAAAGCAAGCAAGTGCAGTCTGAATCAACCTTCAGAGCTGCAGATTGAGCCCCCAGGATTATTTAAGGCACTTCCAGATTTAAAATTAAAAAAAAAATAAAAAAATTATTTTTTAAACACAAGCTCCACCACTGTATCCGCTAAAGCAGTCCTGGCCATCAGGGGTTGTGTTCAGAGCAACACTATGCCTCAATGGCCCTTCTCCCAGTATGACCTTCCTTGTCTTACCATCACAGGCCTCATGGGCTCTGAAAGCTGATCCCAACCCCAGTGCAGGCAGCCACAGTTCATGCTATGACCTTAAAAGCCAAGAGACAGCGCCCATGAATACGTTCCTACTCTGAGCACTCAGCAGATCCTTCAAAACTTACAGATACAAGAACCTGACAACGACCTGCAACGGGAACAACCAGAACTCAATAGATCCCAATGAAACAAAATCAAACAGCGCTTCTTTAGAGCTGAGCTGGAACACACTGTCCATACCAAAAGAAAGAAGTCCTCCAAAACATCGTCTCTGACAAAAAATGAGGAGTATATACATTGAAAGATTGGTGTTAAAGCATCTTTAGGATAAAGTTTGTGGTAGGGTACATTTTAAAACTAAACTGTTTAGTTAAGAGATTTCAATTTTGAAGCATAACACAGGTATCATTCTTTAAAGTCGCACCCGCAATCTGTCCCTTCAATCAGTCTTGAGGGAAAGGAAAAACCAAGACCAACCACATAACATCTCCTACATCTCAAATACTGGTTTCGTTCTTCTCAAAAAATACCACTTGCTATTAGAATACCTGAGAAAAATACATCAGAAAAAAACATGTTACTTTTCAATGTCACATTTATTTTATCCAAAATAAAAAAAGTAATTACTATCCACAGGAGGCTTTTTTCCAATGAACAGAAGAACTAGTAACAAAGCAATGCAATGTATGAAAAGATCACTAATAACAAGCCAAGCAGCAATATTACTCACTTCCAAATGAAAAGCAAGGAGAAAACTGTTTCGATTACCAGCATGCATGTGTGGTTGTAAAGAACAAAGAACTGAGCTGAAAAACTCTGCTTCTGGAAGAACTATCAGCTATACGTAGTGGGAGATATCAGAACTGGTGTTATATCATACACAGGAGACAACAGTCTTTTAAACTGACCGGTTTTCAAAAGCTTGCTGACAACCAGTTTCCAAGTACAATCCCATATTAACTAATTCAGATTCCTCCATGGATTTTGAAAATGAAGTAATCAGAAAAGCAAACAAAGTCCTTTTATGTATTTTCTCAGTCATGTTTTCTTTTGCAAACACCATATAAAATAAACAATAATGACCAAAGAACATCCTCACTGTAACTATAAATAGTGATAAATTATTATCTTTTAGACTGCCAAGAACTACTCCTTGCTTAAACCAAACTGAAAGTATGCCTTCCAGCATGGTAATATTGTTTAAATTCTTCAGATATACGGAAGACTCCAAAAGATAAAACATTTTTTTAGTTATATGTTTACACTTGATTTTTTTCATTAAAAACTGTTTCCCATTTGTTCAGCTTCTTAAAAAGTCATTCACTGTCCACTTACAGACAGCTCTCAGCTTTAATGCAGCATCCTATACAGGAAGGAAGCAAACAGGAAACAAATCCATGTTTGTTTCAGTAATTACCAGCCCACATGCATTTATCTTAAAGGTAGGGAGGATCTGTCTAGCTGCCAACTCCACGCTGTCAAGCGTTGAGATCTTGATTTCCTGAGCAGCTTGAATAACACTCAGTGTTCAATTCTCAGTGGAAGCCTAATCATTTCCTGAAGCTGAGTGAAAGGAAACATTATAGGGTAAAACATGAGGTTTAATAGGAAGGACACGGTGTCCCAAATAACTGCCCCCAGCCAGCTCCCTGCAGCTGAACATGCTGCTCCAGTGATTTTGCAGCCCAGC